GACAAAGTGGGAGGGCTTGCCTTACCTGACTTTAGCACGTATTATACAGCCACAGTGGTCAAAACAGTGTGGTACTGGTATAATGACAAATATTCAGACCACTGGAAAAAAGCTGAAGACCCTGAAATAAAAACATTAGCATACAGGCAACTGATTTTTGATAAGGACCCAAAAAATACCAAATGGGAAGCAGATGCCCTCTTCAATAAGTGGTGCTGGGGAAAAAACGGATAACTACCTGCAGAAAAATTAAGCAAGACCCTTACCTCACTCCATGCACAAGAATAAACTCAGACCTTGAGGTAAAACCCCAAACTATTAGGGCCATTAATGAGGGAATTGGGACAAGCCTGAGAACATTGGCACAGGGAATCCATAGGCTATCGGAAACAGGGAAAGATACAAATACAGAGGAGTCACAAATAGCCAAATGGGATATACTGAAGATAAATCAACTGTGTACATCGAAAGAATTCACCAAGAGAGTAATAAGAGAGCCCACAGACTGGGAAAACATCTTTAGCAATGACACATCATATAAACGCCTTATTACTAAAATTTACAATACTTTGAAGCTTACAATAAGAAAAAAACTAACTGCCCAGAGGAAGTGGGCAAAGGACCTGAACAGAAACTTCACAGGAGAGAAATCCGAATGGCCAAAAAACATATGAGAAAATGTTCCTGATCATTAGCCATAAGAGAAATGCAAATTAAAACAACTATGAGATACCACCCAATACCCTCAAATACTGCCTAATTCAAAAAGTCAGAAAGTAACAAGTATTGGAGGGGCAGTGGGAAAATAGGAATTCTCGTCCACTGCTGGTGGACTTGCAGGTATGTACAGCCACCATGGAAATCGATTTGGTGGTATCTAAAACAGATGTATATTGAGCTACCATACGACCCAGCAATCCCCCTACTTGCCATATACCCAGAAGAGGCAAGAAACAAACCACAGCCAGACATCTGTACTCCAATGTTCAACATAGCACAGTGCACAATCGCAAGGAGTTGGAAACAACCCAAATTTCCATCAACAGATGAATGGAT